TATATTCTTTTATACCTAAGGGCTTAAGGTAGCTAAGGTTACTATTTTACCTTAAGTATAGTTACTACTATATAATAACTTTAGCTCTTTATATTAGTAGTAGATATAGGCCTTTTTATATATAATTTTAAGTTCTTCTTTAAGCTAGTATTCTTTCTTATTTAGTATCTTAAGCCTTTTAGTTATATTATAGCTTCTTTAGGTACTATTAGTTAAAGATAAAGAAAGTAAGTAGTAACTAGTTAAGTTAGTTATAGCTTAGTTAGTACTTTCTATTAGCTTAAGTAAGACTAGGTCTTTAGTAATATAGTAAGTGTTTATAAATATATTACTTACTAGTCTAGATAATTAAGTAAAGCTTTTAGGCTATTATATATAATTAGGTTAAGTATAAAAGTAATAAGTAAATACACTATAAATATAAAGTTAGGTTACTAGTATTACTAATACTAAAAGCTACTTTTCTTTTTCTTATTTTTTCCCCCTTATTCCTTTTATATGTTTATATACCCTTACTTTACCTCTTATACGCCCTAACTCTTATATGCTCTATAGTACTTAGCTTTATATATGTATTACTCCCTAGAGTATATAATTAGTAGGCCTACTTAGCTAGCCTACCTAACTACTCCTAAGAAATATTTATATAAAAGTCTTTTATAAATACTATATTTATTAAGATAAGGTCTAAGCTTATTTTATTATAGCTTTTAAAAATACTCTTTGTTACTTAAGTACTTATTATAAGTATAAAGTATAAAGTAGTACTTAAATTAACTTATTATATACCTTTTTTAGTATCTTAATAGTACTAACTTTACTTAGATATAAAAGCTTATATAATTATAACCTTAGATTTAACCTTAAATTTAACCTTATTTATAACCTTAAAGTAACACTACTATATATATATATATATATAAGATATCTAATATAACCTTTACTTCTAGATATAGACCTATAGAGATTTACTCTCTAGTACTCTATCTCTAAGAAGTATAAAAAGTAGATATATATAAATAGTAACTAGATTTACTCTAGGGTACTAAAAATAGAAATATCCACTTAAATAAAACTAGATATTAAACAGACCGCATTATGCTGTAACAAGCTGTAACAAGTAGTGTAACAGGCTGTAACTAGCTTAAAACAGGCTGTAACAATATAAGGTTTCAAATCTATATAATAGTATAATAAGTATAATATAATATAAAGTTTAATATATATATTACTAGAAATATAGAAGTTAGTTAATTATATATAGAGATAAGATCCCCTTAAGGGATTCTAGCTCTCTATACCTTCTAAGCACAATAAAACTACACCTATCTTTCTACCTATCTATCTAGTTCACCTACTGATCTACCTGTTATTTCTTATTACTTTAAGTAAAAAAACATTATTTACTATATATATAGTACTATAGTTATCTAATATAGTACTATATAAAAAGATATATAAGCTTAAAAAAAGTATAGTAAAGATATTATAAGATTATAGTTCTTAAGTAACTCTAGCTAAAAGTATCTATAATAAAGTAAGGTTAATAATATAAGTAATAACTTTAAATAAGAAATCTTTTTTATAAGAGGTTAGTAACTAGTTACTCTTTATAAGGCTATATATAGTGTATTTTAGGCACTTAGTGCCTAAACTAATTAATCTTTTAGTAATACTAGAATAGTCTATTAATAGGCATAGCATACTACTTATACCTTTGTATTCTTTTTCTTTATTATCTTTTTTACTTTTTTATAACTATTTACTAAACTATAAGTAATTTTCTTTAAGGTTTTACTTCTTAAGTAATAGTCTTCCTTTAATTTACTTTTCTTTTTAAATAAGTTTAAGTTAAAGATCTAGGTTCTTTAAGCTATTAGTTTAATTATAAATTTATTTATATAAAAATAAATAAGACTAAAGTAAGTTTGTTAAAGTTACTTATAATAACTCTTTTACTATATAAGTATTTTATAAAGGTTTATAAGTAAGTATAACTATATATATATAAATTACTTTAGGACTTAGCTTTAAAGTAATATAATTTATTTTTAACCTTTTTATAAGGTATCTTACTAAGGTTATATATAAATTATACTCCTTTTTCTTATATCTTATAGTAAGCAAGTCTTTTATAGGGATACTTATAAAATAGTAGTAAAGTAATTAAGATTATTAATATAAAACCCTTAAGACTTATTTTATATAAATCTTTAGAGCTTATAGGTTACTTAGAATAGTATAATCTTATATAAGACTACTTTAAGAAATAGTCTAAAGGTAAGTATATATTTAACTTTAGGTATATTAAAGATCTTAATATATATATATATATATATATTTACTATTTAGTAACCTAGGTATTAAGATTAATACTAGCTCTTCTTCTATTTATCACTATAAGGTATATTTTTGAATAAGTATTTAGTTAGTAAAGTTACTTACTGTATTTTAGTATTTAAGAATTTATATTATTAAGTAGAAAAAAGTATCTTTTTACTTAAGTACTTTTATTTAAGTTAGTAAAAGTAAGGTTTTAACTACTAATAAGTTAACTTAAGACTTTAGGAACTTAAATACCTTTTTCTATTAAGTATAAATAGTCTTAAGTATAGTTTTATCTAAAAAATATAATTAATATATAAGCTTTATATTAAGATTAGTTATTACTAATAGTAACTTATATTATACTTATAATATATTATTAATAGTAACAGTTTAAATATATATAATATTTAAAATGTTATTAAAATAGAGGTTATTATTTTTATTAATAATTAAGCTTCTTAAATTAATATAGTCCTAAATATAACTTATTACTACTTTAAGGTATAAAGTTATATACTAGATAAGTTACTTAGGTTATATCTTTAGCTTTTAAGTACTATTAATTAATATAGTTACTATAAAAAATATTTTAAAAAATAGTTTATTTAAAAGTAAAGTATTTAGCTTATAAACACTTTAAATATAATTATTTAAAAGTCTAATATAAGCTAGGCTTATAACTATTATAAAAGTATTGTCTAGCTAAAAAGAATTATAAAGAAAATAGCTTAACTATCTATAGTATAAAGATAATGTCGTGATGCCCTCATGTGCATTACGCGCATCCGGCTCCGGTCGGCCGATTTCTCCGGACCGGAGAAACGGTTATTCCGAACCGAGCCTCGTCTCCACGCAGCTGACCCACTCAAAGAATACGTATTTCTTCGGGCTGGATCACCTATCTCTACACTGTAGATAGTCAAGCCGTTTTCCCTATGATCTTTCCTACCCGAACAGTGCCTCTACGACAGTTAAGTAATCTAGCTTAAAGAAATATATATTCTTTAAGTAGGTTAGCTATATAGGGACAAGGCTTAGTTTAGAATAACTATTTCTCTAGTCTAGAGAAATCGGCCGACTAGAACCGGATGCGCGTGATGCACATGAGGGCATCACGACATACTAGATACTAGGAGGGGTGCAAGGAGGGTTACTCTACCCGCTACTGTCTAAACCCCTTAACTAACGCGTCCCTCCCGGCCCTATCCTCCAGACCCGCGTCTGGGGTGTTAAAACTGCCACGTGCACCTCCGAAACCTTTAACGGCGTTAGCTGTGTCTGCAGGAATGGAGGCTACTACGACGGCAAGGACGGCTTCAAGCCCGCAGCTCCTAGCTGTCTCACAGCATAACGTACGATAGAAGCCGCTGCGTCTCGGGAGAAGTACCTGTCTTCGCCCAGAGACACCTCAGTAGCGGTGCCTAGAACTCCACTGAAGTACCGAAGTGCTCTGAGGAACCGGACCCATGGTGACGTCTGTCTCAAGGAAGTCCCCATCTGCCCCAAGAACCAGATTCTCAAGAACGACGTCTGCATGCATGTGAACGACACCAAGCGCCCCTTGGATATAAACTTGCAGGCATTCGGGCCGGAACACGCAAGGGGAGACATTTCATCCAGATTACGTACTGGAGAACGGCGGCTGCATCTCTGACGAGAAACTTGTCTACATATCCGGGCACCATAACGGATCTATCTGCGTAGGCGAGATCCCCGGTTGCTAGAATGGCGCCGAGTTCGACGTCGTTCAGTTATGCCTTTTACCTAAGACAATCAGGAAGCAAGACAAACCTCGTTTTATTATCTAATATAGATCCTATAAGTCGAACTTTGAACGCTGGTAAATTCGCTGGAACAATCCGCCTACACCTGTCAGAGCGTTGGTGCGTGATGCATACGGAACTGCAAGAACTCATACAAAATACACAGCAGAATATTGCGCTTGTCCACGGGGACAAAGCTCAGTAGCAATCGCAGTACAACGTTCTTTTGTCCTGGGGTGCAAGACGTGTCAGGCAATGCAGACGGAGTATGCGCAAAAAGCGCCAAATGTGCCGAAAATCAAGGGCTAATGTAATTCCCCAGAGCTCCGTCGGAACATTGGCCAAGAGAACGAATCGCGTCGGTCCGAATTCAGGGACGCAAAGTGACGTCGACATTGGCGGGGAAATTGTGTCCCCCAATTGCCGCGGGGCTTTACCTCGTTTGGAATATAGATTGCCCCTCTCTAGACCAGGATGTCATGGCATTTGTCGGAGCTCTCGTCCGAAAGAGTTTAATCCGGCGAACCAGACAAAGAGGATATATTTGATATAGCATAACGTGCATATCCACGATCTTAGGACAGCGGAATTGAGTAGTCCGTATATCCACAGATGAATGGCTTCATTGCTTCAGACTTTGCAATCACCATAAAAGGTAATACGGAGTACACTCCGAAGCTCCGCCCCTCGAAGAAGATCTCATCATGGTAGTTAGCACTCCAACGCTAGACTATGACTAGGTACGAGCCATGAACAGGCCTCGGAATGTTGCTCCGTGGACGGTTCGAGAAGATGAATTAAATATAAAAGAGCAGAGGTCTGCCTTAAGGATCTCTCCTTTGTCGTGGCTTTCTTCTTCATCCGATTCAGGTCTCTTACTCTTTATAGTTACTTATCGACCCGAAAACGATGAAGATTTATAACTATCTTGTCGTGGGCATTTTTGGCCCTCTAGCCCTTGCTCAGTCTCTATGTGACCAGTACGGCTACTATGCCCAGGCAGGCTATTACTTCAATAACAACCGCTGGGGCCAGGGATCCGGCCAGGGCTCGCAATGCCTAACCGTGAGCTGGGCCAACAGCGATGGTGTTGGTTGGAAAACGGATTGGACGTGGTCAGGCAGCCCCAACAATGTCAAGTCCTACCCGTACTCGGGAATCACCATGTCCAATAAGCTTCTGGTTAGCCAAATTGGCTACTTGGGAACATCTGCCAGCTGGCAGTACAGTAATACCAATATCCGCGCCAACGTCGCGTACGACCTCTTCACTGCGGCGGACCCGAGACACGACCCTAGCAGTGGTGATTATGAACTAATGATTTGGTAAGTTCTCCCGCGTACAATCTTTGTCGGACTTGTGCATTAACAACTCGCTTCCAGGCTCGGAAGGTTTGGGGACATCCAGCCCATTGGAAGCTCGCAAGGCAGAGTCACAGTGGGAAGCCGCAGTTGGGATCTGTGGTATGGGGTCAATAACGGGATGAGAATCTACAGTTTCGTGGCTTCCAGCCCTATTTCACAGTTCAACGAGGACGTCAAGCCCTTTTTCACCTATCTTCAAAACTCGAAGGGGTTCCCTGCCAGCAGCCAGTACCTTATAAGTAAGTTCCTTCCGAGTGTTATCATCTGCCTAATACCACAACGGGCTGACATCCCTGTGTTTTATAGCCTTTCAGTTTGGCACGGAACCTTTCACGGGTGGCCCGACCACGTTCACCGTCTCCAATTGGAACGCCAAGGTGAACTGATGGTCCATACGTCAACACTAAGGGCCTTCGATTTCGCGTTGCGGATTGTAGCCATCGGTTTTGGAACAGATTCCGAAATCGGTGACAGAAGAGGTAGATTTCACTTGTATATGGGTTTTTTTTTAGGTCACCACATGCTTGCACGTATATAGTCATACCAGGCCCCAAACACTTTTATTCACTTGAACAATGAATATTTGACCTACATAGTGATCAAAACCAAAGAGCCTCAGCAGAGCTATCGCATGTTTGATATGACACAAGATCAAAGATGGTCTATCTTTATATCCAAGTGTGATATAGCCTGGCCCGAGCCGTAGGACTACGCATCTTCAAAAGGGGCCGGCCTGCAAAATCTGAAGAGGCTGCGCAGTGCCATTCCTATGAAAGTAGAGATGTAATAAAACCATTTTATTTATAGGCAAGTACTGCGAGTAACGGCTGAAGTGCCACGTGATACAGCATATGGTCATCCACCTCACAGGTGCTATGGGAAGCTACCGTGAAAAATTCCATAACAAGGAGATCGCGGTGCCCGTGTCCAGAGAAGTAAACTATCTGTTCCATAACTTAAGCCTTTAGCTGTAGTTGCCACGTCCTTTGGTAACGCTAATCTGCTGAGGTCGATGATAATGCCTGAAGCGTCTAACCCGCTCCTGGCTCCTAAAAAAGTCCGTGCCTACGAGAGACAGGTTTTCTTGGCATAAGTCTTGAAAAGAGCATCAAAGAGTCTAGATTGTTATGGTAGATTGTTCTAGAAGATAACCGTTGCGTTGCCGATACTGTGTTTATTGCTTGTAAGGAAGCTAAAATGGAAATAATTCTAAAGTGGATCCAGAGAACCTTTCGCCTCAATTTGCATCATCACACAATTATAACAACCTTCCCTCCTTTTTACCTGTTACGTTTTGGAACTATTAGTTCCTCTGCGTGCACTACACCACTTCTCTTAACACCTACATTACTTACGTAAGACCACTACACCTACAGACAATGCTGGCCCCTAACAGGCTAGCTCTACTACTACTAGTAACGCTACGTCCTAGGATATAGCTACTAATAGTAGCTATAATTACTATATTAAGCTTAATTATAAATTAAGGTTTACTAATAAAGCATAAGAGGTTTATAGTGCCCTTTAGCTTAATGACTACTACTATAAATAGCTTATCTTTAAAGGACTTTATATAAATAACTTAAACCCTTAAGAAGAGGCTAAATATATATATTACTATATAGACTAATAATAAATATAACTTAAAACCTTAAAAACAAACTAAGTAAGATTATAGTACTTAATAATAGTTATAAATATATAATAAATACTTTAATTAATAACTTATAGTATATCTTATAATAAATATAAGCTAAAAGATATTACTAAATAGTAATTAATTACTATACTAACCTACTAGTAGTGTTAAATTATAAGGATTATAATAGTTAATTAATTAATTCTATTATATGTTATATAACTATAGTAAAAATTCTATAGTAATAAGAAGATCTCTCTATTCCTTAGTTAGGAAATCCTAAGCTAGTCCTAGCTATATAATTAGTAGAATTACTAGTAAAGTAAGGCTAATTTACTACCTATTTCCTAACTATTTACTATAAGTTAACTATATATTTACTAGTTAGTTTATATATAATTCTACTATATTAAATACACCCCCTTAGCACTAGTAATATAATTAATTACTATAAAGCCTATACTAAATACCTTTTATATATAGCTTATTTACTTATTAATTACTCTTTAATATTTTATATATTTTCTTTCTTTCTTTATCTAGTAGTAAAGCTTTACTTTATTATTAGCTAATTCTTACTATTAATTTACTTTAAGATATATATATTAGTTACTTATATTTAATTAAGCTATAAATATAGTAACTTATAGTATACTAAGTGCTTTTATTAATCTATTAGCTATTAATTTAGTAGAGTTCTTATATTAAATAGTAATTTAACTTACTACTACTTCTTACTATAACTAGTAGTTATAAATATCTATATTTTATAGCGTTATTTATAATTTAATAGACTCTTTAGTAATAAGCCTAATAGTCTAAGTATTATTATAACTAATATAAATAGTTAGTAGCTATTTACTAGTTAGTTACTTATTAAGTAATAATTTATTTTCTAGTGAAGTTAATAGTAAAATACCTAGTATAGTAATTAATTTACTAGTAAAAACTACCTCTTTTATAGTAAATAATAATACTAGTAATTTAGCCTTAGTAGTTAATATTATTACTATATCTTACTTATCAGCTTATTAGAAGATAAGCTCTTTAAATAGCTTTAGTATATATACTTATAATCTATAATAGTTTAGTAAGTTATTAGTAAATACGGCCTCTAAAGTAACCTTTAATATATTATTTTCATTACCTAGTGTTACTTTATATTCAAGGTAAAAGTAGTATATTTAATAAAAGTATTTAAGTATATAATTTATAACCTTTAAGTTATCTAGTTTAAGATTATAGTTAAAGTTAAAAAGCTAGCTAGCTATAAAAGTAATATCTAGCTAAGGTATTACTATAATATAAATAATTATTTTTAGTTTTTTTTAATATTAGTTAACCTCTTATAATAAGGCTATATATTTACTAAGTAGTAGCTTAGCTTTTACTATAAGTAATAATTTATTATATTTTTTATTTAGTAGTAATAGTTAAGTTACTTTATTATAATATACTACTTATTAAGCTAAAGATAGTAATTACCTTAGTTATAAATTACCTTAACGCTAAAGAACTATTAAAGTAGACCTTTACCTTTAAGGTAGGATTATTACTAAAAGGCTACTATCTTATTAATTACTTATACTTTATTAATATAATAATAAACTAATATATAGTTATTAATATAAAAAAAGAATATAATATAATTCTTTTTCTAATAGTGGTTCTTACTAAGTACTTAATAAAAGCCTTATATAATAAGCTTTTCTTTAAGGTATTTATACTATAGTAAGAGTAACTACTAAAGTCTATATAGTACTTTTAGTAGCTAGAGGATCTAGCTAGTAATTTAGTAGCCTAAATATATCTTTATAAATACTACTTTATTAATAGTAGTATAAGTAAATATATTTACTATATTATATAGAAGTAGTTCTAAGTTAAAGTAAGTTATTATTACTATTAGTATTTTAAATAATATACTTACTAATATAGCTATATAAGTATCTTATAGATTTTTAGCTTATTAGTTATTATAAATAATAAGTCTTACTTTAAACTTAGTTAATTAACTATATTTATTAAGCTTATAAGTATATACCTAATAGTAGCTAAGAATTTAATATCTTTTAGCTACTACTTATAGTACTATTACTTAAGGTTTTAATATTTTATATTTATATAAATATACTTTTTAAATATCTTTAAATTACTTCTTATATAGGTAGTATTTTAACTATTTATAAGTTAGTAAAAGGTATAACGTACTTATATAGTAGGCAGGCTATTATAGTAAGCAAGCTACTTCCCTTTACTTTTCTACTTTTTATATAATTTAATTTAACTAGATTATATAAAATTAATTAAAAATATATATTACCTTATTCTTTATTACTATCTTAAACTACCTTATAGGTTTATATATTATATCTAGTCTTTTTATAATTACTATATTATTATATATATAGCTTACTACCCTCTATATAACCCTCTTTTTAGGATATTTTCTTACCTCTAGCTTTAACACCCTCTTTTTCTCCTTATAGTACCTCTACTTTAGTTATATTAAGTAACTTTCTAAGACGTAGTTAAGTCTTTTTAGCCCTCTAGTACTTACTTAGTATATTTATCTCTATATAAAGTCTAAGGTTATTAGCCTTAATAAGAGTAAGCCTATATACTAACTTACTAATACCTTTAGCTTAAAGGTTAATTACCTTATATATTAGTATTAGTAAGCTTCCTTAATATTTCTAGATCTTCTTTTTTAGTAAACTAGTACTTTATATACCCTTAAGTATAGTTATTAGTGTCTTTAGGTCTTATAAGCCTAAGCTAGTTAGATATAAGCTAGGAGGTATTAGTATATTTAGCTTAAAATCTAAGTAAGAAATAACTACTTTAGGGTTAAATAGTATAAAGCTAGCCTATCTAAAGCTAGCTTATATATTTACTTCCCTTATTAAAGTAAAAAATACTACTTTTAAGGTAAAAAAAAGTTATTTTTTATAATATATAAAATCTATATTTATATTATCTTTTTAATTCTTTTACTATATAAAAGCTTTAATAAGCTAAAATAACTTATATTAAGAGGCTAAAGCTTATATAATAAATAAGGAGGTATATATAAAGTAATAACCTTTTATTTTTTATAAAGAATATTAAATTTAGTTAATTTATAGCTATTATAGCTATTAATAATTAAAAGTTAATAAGTACTTTTTATATAAGACTTTATATACTAGTTAAAATAACTTAACTAATTTAGGCTAATCTTATTTATTATTTATTTATTTTTACTTAAGTAAATATACTATTTAGCTAGGAATTAGCTATTTTAGTACTAAAAGAAAAAGTAAGATTTACTTTTTATAATAATATATAAAGGTAATACTTAGCTATTTATATATACACCTTAAATAATAAAAGCCTATTCTTAATTACTAGGCTGCTTTATATAAGGCTTTCTCTTATAATTAGAGGTTATAATAACCTTTATATATAATAGTATTCTTATTAAGAACTTAGTCTTATTAAAATTATAAATATTATAATCTTATATTTTATGCTTTATAATTATATTTTATATATATATAAACTAGCTTTATATAATTATAAGATCTTTAGCTAAGGCCCTCTAATAGTTAATTTAATATTAAAATTATATT